ACAGGTGCGTGATCTTACCGAGAAAGTGGAAACGCTACGTGTAAAGCGAATGCAGGACAAGGAAAGGATGAAAGATTTCGAGAAAACGAAACTTCAAGTTGAACAGCTGCTTGAATTTAAGGCCAAAGTCATGGAAAGTCAGGTGAGTATTGCATGTAGTAGAAATCACGCTTAAAGAAATCAAGGATGACAATATAGGACATTAAATTGTCGACGATTTCGAAGCTCGAACGTCGCTCCAGGATCCTCGGGATGTCGAGAAATTCCGGTTTTTCCCTCCATTTTTGAGAACGTTATTTAATTTCCACTTGTTCTTTGTGTTATCAAAGGCGAGTCTGCAAAGAGAGCTACAACGAGCTCGGCAAGAAGCTAGAGAAGCTCACGTGGCGAGGGAACAGTACCAAGAGGAGATGTCTGATCTTGCAGAGACCGTGGAAATGGCTACGTTGGATAAAGAAATGGCGGAAGAGAAGGCCGAGACTCTTCAGATCGAGCTGGAGCAACTAAAGGAGAAATTGGAGGAACAAACGTTGGATCTAGAGATATTGCGCACAGAAATGTCCGGGCGGGTAATAACATTTCGTCTAATTTATATATACGCTTCGTCAAGTTTTTTTTACGGATTTGGCGCGTTCAAATGACACTATTTCCAAAAGGCGTCCAGCGGTGGATTGACTACGGGAGCTTCGAGCTACGAGGTGAAGCAATTGGAGCAGCAAAACAATAGGTTGCGCGAAACGCTCGTGAAAATGCGCGATTTATCCGCGCACGAGAAACACGAGTTCCAAAAGCTGCAAAAGGATATGGATCAGAAAAAGTCCGAGATCTTGGAATTGGGTCGTACGAAAGAGAAGTTGTCGGCGCGGGTCGAAGAAATGGAACATCAGATAGCGGATCTACAGGAACAAGTACGTACCGTTTGCACGAATTTCCAATAACGTCATAGTTGCACATATATACGTTTTCCCTCTGTAGGTCGATGCGGCATTAGGAGCTGAAGAAATGGTCGAGATGCTAGGCGAGAAGAAAATGGCATTGGAAGAAAAAGTGGCTGAACTGGAAGAGGCTGTTGCAGATTTGGAGGCCCTACAAGTACGTAGCTCTTGTTCTACAAAAGAAATATTTATCGTTATTTACGTAGATCTTGTTCTACAAAAGATATAGTTTACGACAAACACACAATACACTACGAATCCGTTTAGGATATGTCGGATCAACTGGCCGAATCGTCCAAAGAGTTGGAACTGGAGCTTCGCGAGGAACTGGATCTCGCGCTCGGGGCAGCACGCGACGCCCAACGGCACCGGGACGCCGCGCTGGAGACGCTGGCGGATCGCGAATTGACCATCACGAAGTTCCGCGAACTCACGCATCAATTGCAGGACCAATGTTTGCAGTTGCAGCAACGCGTTCAGTCGACAGAGTCTACCAAGACTAACGTTCGAGGTAGGACAGAAAGTGGTGGCGCAAATTTATCACCTAAGTTGCCTCCTTTTTCATAAATTCATTTGTCATTTAGGCGCGGATCAACAACTAGCGGAGATATTAGACTTCCAGAAAACATTCGCTGAGACTCGAGCGCAAACCAAGGCGGTCGATCTGGAACTGCGTCGTTTAGACGCTGAGGAAGCGCGAAATCACGTGTCCTACTTGGTGTCCTTCATGCCCCCCGCATTTTTAACTCGCGGCGGAGATCACGACGCGATATTGACTCTCTTATTGATACCAAGAATGACACAAAAAACGGAGATATTGATTTCGCAAGTTCGGGAAAAGTACAGGTCGATCGAAAAGATAGACAGGTAATGATAATTCGATTTTGTCGCGCGAGCCTCATTTAGATTCCTCGTGCAATACAATATTTAATTTTCTTTTCTATTACAGGCCTTCTGTAGTGAGAGGCCACTCGGTAGCACAATATTCGTTCAGATCTCGTCTGTGCTCGCACATGTACGCCTTGCAAACCACCCTGAGCTGCTTCGAGTCGACCTTAAACTCGTGTAACTCGGAGATGTTACTCAAAGCGGGAGCGGCTTACCCGGAAATGGCGGCGCAGGAGAAGTCCTTGGACTCGCTGATCGAGCTGGCCAAGCGAGATCAGTTGGACGAGAATCTGCCGATGGACGCGATCGAGAAGTGCTGCGGATACTTCGCCACGATGTTCTTCGTGCTCTTCGGCGAGAGTACGGCAGTCAACCAGGCGCGCCTGATCGTGAATGGCACGAGAACCTTGGGCAATACGTGCGATGCCGTGGCCACCGACGCCGCGGCGATCAAAGTGTTGATACAAGGCGATGGTGGTGACATAGGTACGTAATATTTGTTGCTTAATTAAATTTTACCCCTGAACAGATTGTAACGTACTCTTGCTGCTAAAGGTTTGCTCTGTCAACACGTCGAAACGACGTGCGAGGTGATCCAGCAGCACCTGAAGTCGGCTAGAAGGCGAGTACCGCGTGATCACGCTGGCCCAGCATTCTCCGTAGGCGCCAATTTAGGATTGGATAAAGATTGCAACGAACAATTCTCGACGTGCTATCAGCATGGCGTGAAGATTACGAAGACACTCCAGTATCTATTGAAGAGTGCCTTGCAGGCTATTACCGAAAATGGCGGTAGGTACCTTGCATGGGTGATGAATTCTCTCGGAAAGTTTGTCTTTATAGTTTTTATAAATGGTTTCTCTCTTCAGATTTAGACACGGGGCTGGCGACCGACAAGTTGAAGGAAATGGCCGCGACGTCCAGCGAAAGAGTGTACGATACGGAAGACTTGGGACCTGTGGCCACTATCAAGGCCAGTTTAAAGGTAATACAACAACTGGCGGCGAATCTGGCGCAGAAGATGGCCGAGTGCGAGAACGAGTTAGCTATAAGCGGGCAGGCACAGAGTCAGCAACACTCTATGGAGCGTGATCAGGTAACGCCAATTGCGGCTAGAGCAATTGCGGTGAGGAAGGAATTGGAAGAAACGAAAATACTCGGCAGGTGCGTACACTTCTGTCGGCTGGTTATGTAATTATTATCAGACGATCCTGTGAAATAATCCTTTGGCATTTTTACATTTCAGAAAACTCGAGGCGAGGGACAGTGACATACGCGAGGCGAGATTGGCTTTGCGGGAGAAGCAGGAAGAATTATCCGAGATGACGCTACGGAAGGAATTGGCCGAGAAGCGTTATGCGACGCAGCAGCACGAGCACGAGATGAATGTCGAGAAGCTGAAGAGAAAATTGGAAGAGGCGCAAAATCAATTAAAACGGAAGGTATCCACTGTCGTATATCGTAAATCTGTATAACTTATCTACGTATTTGTCCACTGGTTCTACATATTTTCTTTGACGACAGGAAAAAGAATTCGAAGAAACGATGGACCATCTTCAAACCGATATCGACAGTCTGGAATCGGAGAAAGGACAATTGAAGGAAAAGTTGAAGTCAATCGGCAAGAAGACGATATCGGTGTCTGGCGCGGACAGCACGACGGGAAGCACTTCGATAACGAGTACTTTAGACAACAAATATTACGTACAAGAGATAAACGCCCTCAAGCAAGCCTTAAATAACGAGCATCAGCAAAAGAAGAAGATAATGTGCGCGGTCTTGCGTCAGAAGTTGGACAATTTGGAGCCGTTGCCATCGCCGACGAATCTAAAGTCTCTGGATACGAAAATTCAAGAACTGCGAAAGAAGACTACCGATCTCGTCAAGGTAATTGATTACTAATTGATAATCATTATTGCACTCGGATATTCTTTACGATAAATTTATTCACATTTCAGGATGTCGAAAAGACTCTGGTATATCCGACAGTTCCCGATTTGAGGCGCAAAGTGCCCGAGACATCTTATCATTATTTACTGGAACGACAGAGGAACATTATGCAATTGAAGGAACGAGTTGACGAGCTAGTGGTAAGTACAGATGAAAGATAGATAAGCAACGATAGTCGACGTAGTGTCGATTACTGGATGCTCAAAATGTATTTTGTATACTTTTCAGGCTCAGGTACGTCGCGAGGCTATTAAACGTACACCGGGTGGAAGAGCGGAAGCGAATTTCGCTGTGTATCCGAATCGCGAGATGGCGGCGGCGATGCAGGAACGCAAGTTACTTGCCGCCGAAATAAAGATCCCTTACAACGGCCCGGAACAATCGTTCTCCGTTAACGTAGGACCGAAAGAACTTAGGAAAATTCACACTCTACTGTACTATTAAAGAATCCGCGCATTGTTTTCTTATTTATTGCGTGACAAGATCACAGAATCCCCAAGATGTACCGGGCGAAAGAGAGACTATCTTTTTCTAATTTTTTCACGGTAGCAATATTTTGTACTATGTTGCCGTATCCTGTCGTGCTCTATAAGGGTAAACCGAGCTAATTGTACATGTTGTTGCGGCACCAACCAGGCTTTTATACAGACAGTTCATGTCGTATCCTTGTAACGATGTGAAAAAAAAGGTACAGGGCAGATGTAGTAATTCGCAATTTGCACTTGTGCAAGGTTTATTTATTTCCGATGGGCTACAGCGCGATGACCGGTGCATCGCAGCTGGGAGGCTCTTTTTTTCAGTGTTCAATACGTTTGTAAACGCAATGTTATTTAGTATTAACAATACGGAAGAAAAATCATGTGCCTCCGCGGCTTTTCTGTATTATATATATATATATATGCCTTTAAGAATTGTCAAATATATGGTCTAAAAATATTTACATAAGTGTTTTATATGTACACCCTAAACGGTGATGGTATCACAATAATAGAAAGTGGTGTGGTCTTCTGTAGAGCGGGTACACACCACCCCTACCTTGACCAAACATCATGTACACTTTCACTGTTGCCATGCATTGTACACAACAGCCGATCGCGGTGAGTCGTCAGCAACATTTAATGAAACAGAAAGTTATAGTACAATATTCCAGGTTTTTTATTTGTAGAGATAAAAGGAGCAGTAAACCGTTCATGTCCTCAAATATTTATGAAATAAGGTATGCCTTAATTACTGTCACAATTTTATTATACATACAGGCATGCATATGTGCGTATGTATATACATAGGTTTGCGATATATCTTAAGCACGTACATAGGTATATATATACACACACATACACACAGCAGATAGTACTTAAGTGCATATATCGTTAGTTATTTTATTAACTTACTCGCTCATTCATTCTCACATGTTGATGCGCACTTTTACACTTTCATTTATCCCCTTCATAATAATAATAATTAACCACACATTCAATCGAGGATGGTTATTGGGTATTTATTCCTTTTCATATTCTCGAGTGTCCGTCAGGCAGCGTGATCCGCTTCTTCGGATACAATAGAAGCTTTAAGATTTCAGTTGAATTCATCATTGCAATCTGTACTTAAAGCTGACCGGACGACTGGTAGTACCTTCCACGACGAGGACGCACGCTAACATTATTCGTTAAGGGTGTACAATCGTAACATCCTTTTGGAAACTAATGCTCGTAGAATATGGACATGAAGAGAGAGTTTAGCATCTAGAATGAACAATACAACTAAAATCTTAAACAAAATGAATAGAAACGTATAGTTCTTTAGCGATTGCCGATATCAAACAAGTATTCCGACTGTTCGAGGCGACTTCTCTCGGTGTGTATGTGTATGCGAAGAACGTGTACGAAGAACGTTGGTCACGATGAAGTATGAAGTCCCTTAACGTGTATACAAAATATCAAACTTAATCTTGAAGCAACAGCACGTGAAATAGCTCTCTACTGCACAGTCTCAGCTAGTAAAAACTATATACGGAAGAATTATCCAGCTAGAGCCTCAGTTACAGGAATACTTTCCGAACGAGATAATTTGCTTTTCATATTATCTAGATGAAAGTAAGCTTGTAACTACTTCCAACTATTCAAAATTTCTTCTTCGACCTCTTCGATTCATGATAAACATATTCACAGACAGAAAGAGAGTAAATCGAGGGATATTTCTACAATAGTCGTTAGTCGTTTGTTCCTTTCTCGATGGAGTACACGTTACTCAATACAGTACGGTACATACTTAAAAGTTAGATTGTTGCCTTAACATTAAGGTATCTTTAATATTACTTTAACTTGTCAATATTATATCAGAGAGTGAGACGTAATCGTTCGTTCATATAAAAAAGGAAAAAAAAACACAAAATTATTGCAGTCAATCGTACCAAAAGTAAGTGTGTGCAATGGTAGTACCTTTGATACTCTTGACTGATCGATACTATCCCCGATAAGAAAAATATTAACACTTTCTCAACATTCCGCGTACGCTGGCGGAACGCCGATCGCGCTATATTGAAGACAAAACCAAATTTAGGAAGCAGAATGTCAGTGTTTGCCACGGTAGTACTCATATTCTCACAAAACACTCGCATATTTTGCATATCTCTCTTCTCTCTATTTATAGAATAGATATAAAATTTTACACCACACGCTCCGCAGATCAATGCGAGCATCCAAGAATGGTCACAACGTCCTCTCTTTCTCTCCATGAAAGTTACACAAATTTCGCGAATTTAAATCACCCACTGTATTCACAAGCCCGACAATATATAATCTGTACGTCCTTGCAATCTTCTTCGGGGGGGCAACAAAACCTTTATTTTTTTTTAATGATTACCAACGGTAAGTTATATACGTAACAACAAAATAAGAACAAGCCACTTTCTGGCTGGCTGGTCTCTCACTCGGATTTCGAAATCCAAAAAGTTCAATCAGCCGAAACTCTAAGTTGCCTGGTGTTACAATCATCCACGTGTGGTTCAGTAAATATGTGAATACAATCATGTTCCCCTTGTCGCATACGCGTATATGCCGCATATGTAATTACATCACTTCACTCTTCTCTCTTTGCGCGAAATTAGAGTGTTGACTGATATGACTCTTTGAATGATAACTTCTGTAAGAAATTCGGTACCTCGTTTGAAATACTTTAGTGATCGCGATCAAGATTGTTGCTACAATGAGGAGTTATAGTCTTAGCGCGCTCCTGGAACAAATAAAATTGAATTTTGAAATTATAGAAATTATATTTCCTTTAATTCTGCTATAAATAATATGTTTTGTGAATCGTGCAAATGTAGTAACTTTCTTTTCGTTATTTCGCCTGATTCTCGCATCATGTAACATATGAAATATGCAAGCGTGTTTACTTGTTTTCACAATTTTGCATTATATGTAAGGAACATTATCGATGTCAATTAAAAATTCAGTAGAAGACATTGAAGCATAAGTTCGTCAATTAAATTAATAATAGGCGGAAAGATAGTAAATGCACCAATAAATACAAGTCTCAAAGTTTCGTGTACAGAATTAAAAAATTATCATAATATATACAATAAATTTACATGTATATTGTTTCAAATCATTCAACAGTATTCAAAGCTCACAAGAATCTAAGAATTATTAAAATGTAAGAGCTATTAAATAATGAAGACAGGAACATTAAACAGTGTGTGTTTTGGCAAATGAGTGGTACGTTTGTACAAGAGAAATAACGCGAGTCTTCATAAATGTACGGAATTTCTTCCGCAAAATGTTCTTTAAAAGTGTTTAGAAAATTTGGGCATAGATTTATTATTAAAAGTTATAGGATTAGAATGAATCGTTAAGTGAATGTTAATTAGCGTACAAGCATACTTATATTTCCATGATTGTTTCAGTCATTATGTTATTAGTAAATAGCGTAAAGAAAATCTTTCTCTCCGAAAAATTTATTGCCGTGCCGATTATCTCATCGGGGAAGAAGGAAAAAGCATTAAAAAAGCCCCGGTGTTATTGCTTCTTGGAAGAATGATTTGTGCCAATCGAATTGTTGAGTTTTGTGGAGGACGCCAACCATCTTTTAAGGTTGAAACTGGCTGTTAAAAAATGATATAATTTATATAAACAACAACTGTAAAAAAAACCAAAAATGTTGAGTTTACGACAGTGATGTAGAACACTTAATTTGTCCAGTTTGAACAACTTAAAGGCTAGCCCCATTACGATCGTTACGGACTGAATATGAAACGATGGCGTCAGATATGATTTGCTAGGGGGACTTATACGTGGACATGCTGCGAAAGGTTAATTCCAAAAATTTTCATTGCACCTGATTGAGTGTTGGCCTGAGTAGATGCCTGTCCTTGTCCCTGCCCTTGCCCCTGAGCACCTTGAGCACCTTGAGAGAGACCTGGTCCAGCTGCTGACACTCCACCGCTAATATTACCACTCGCTGCCTTTTGCTTCAACATCGTCCAATCAAATGTATAATCGTACTGGTGGTTCAATGTACGGAAAAGTATGCGGAAAAGCTGGCGTAAATACATGTAGTCCGGGCTTTCTTCAAAGCGTAGACCTCGCGTGTAATTTAAATACATTGCAAATTCGGCAGGAAATCCCTGAAACGCGACGAGCCTCGTGTTACGGATATACATATATACATAATAAGATACAGACGAGGAAAGAAAGTTTTACCGGCGTACCTTGCATAAGACTTCTACTGGCGTGGACATTTTTTTCTCACTAATTTTCTCGTACTTCTGCTTCTTCGTCGCGGCTTTGAGACCTTGCCAAGGTAACGATCCCCGATTAAAGTACATAAGAACATAGCCGAGTGATTCCATGTCGTCGCGACGACTCTGCTCAATTCCGAGATGCGCATTGATAGAAGCATACCTCGCAGTGCCCGTTAAATTTTTATCCTCGCGGTATATTATGTGCAGTCTTGTGCGACTATCTCTATACTTTTTAGCCAATCCAAAATCGATGAGGAATAGCTGAAACGTTCATTCCGTAATTCAGTATTGGCGCACGGTAGTACTTCATTTTGCGTGTATCATCACTGCAGCAACGATCAGACTGAGATGCGTACCTTATTACAGTGTCGCCCAATCCCCATTAAAAAATTATCTGGCTTTATATCTCTGTGGATGAAGTGTTTGCAGTGAACGTACTCAATCCTACCAATCATCTGGTCTGCCAGCATCAAGACCGTCTTGATTGTAAACCTTCTTGAGCAGAAGGTGAAAAGGTCTTCCAAAGATGGCCCGAGAAGATCCATCACGAGGACATTGTACTCGCGTTCTTGGCCGTACCTGGGCAGAGGACAATTCCTGTCAGTGGACCGTCTGGCACCGCGGTCTTAATATCTTAACTAACACCAATTCCATTGTAATAATTAAAAACAAAATTAACTTTTACATTCATTGCAACGTGGCTTTCGGCGCGTTGTATCGATATCTAAATTGAAATCTCGATACGTACAAAGTGTCGAGGCACCCAAAGGTACAAAGCGTTAAATGTGATAATTACCAGCGTATGTGTGGTATCCCTATACCACCGTGTAATATTTTGTAGAGCTTCGATTCGTACAAAAGCTGAGGATGCCGGGCTCGCATGTTCTCCAGCTTGACTGCAACTTCCTGAAAAAGAAGACACGCGTGTCAGCAAGCTGCATCGCGAGGCTTTAGCCACCAACACGAGGATCGCGAGCAAAGAGCAGGTGAATCAAACGATATAATAACGTTATGGATTCCTTTCCGCTGTCCCGACTCTCCTACGTTTAGGCACTGTATCTACTTGCGCCGCGAGATAGGTACATCTCCAAAGCATTGAAAATACTGGAAAGATAGGAAAGAGAACGAGGGTCCCTCGACGATGGTGAGAGACGCACCAGGTTTATGTTACAGTCAACGGCATACGCTACTGTCTTAAATCAGGATTCAAGCCAACGGCGCGCGATACTATTTTTCATACTGAATTTGCCTACGAGAGTCAATCGCGATGCACAAGTTTTTATCAGGTAACTTAAGTAGGAAAGCTAGTGTCGCGTGCCGTTGGCTTAAGCCTCAAGTCGTCTCATCTGAAGCCAACGGCGCGCGATACTATTTTTCCTACTGGATTGTTTACGAGAGGCGAACCGGATGCAGAGTTTTAGATCAGGTGGCTCCAAGCGAAATCCCGGTTGGCTTTCGTAAGCAATCCAGTAGGGAAAATCGTATCGTGTGCCGTCGGCACGAAGCTCTGCAACCTTATTGGTTCTCGTAGGCAATCGAGCAGGAAAAGTAATATTGCGTGCCGTTGGCGTATAAATTCCCATTAAATTGCACTCTTGTCTATCTGAAGACGATCTCAAGACGATCTGAAATATTTAACATCCGACTACGAATACCGCTCTGAAGTCTTAGTCAAACTCTATTTCCCGATCGTTGTTGTTCACGCGCCGTCGTATTCTGCCAGGATTATCCTTGCGTCATTATTCTTGATCTTTTCTTTCGTTAACACTAGACATGTGCCGCCGCATATAGAGCTCGCAAGTGGACGCCGCTTAAAATAAAGCGCACGGCGCGCAACGGTACCGTCAAAAAGGAATCGCGGTCCGCGAAACAATAAACGGGACGAGGACCGGTCGCCCCTTCGCCCCGCGCGTCATTGTTTACTGCGCTCGCGACAGTCGATTCTCCTTATCCGCGAGCGAGACTCGCGACCCGCTGGGGGGTGCGCCAGGGTTCAACCTGGGCCCCAGCGAGGGGACCGCGGCAGGCAACGCTCTCTCGACACTACTCGTCGCCGTTGTGACAAGCTTATATTTATCTCGATCGCGTCCAGACGCACGCAGGCACGTACCTACGTCACTCGAGCTCGTAGTAACCGTCGTCGTCATCGTCGTCCGCGGCGGACGAGCGAGGCCCGTCGCGACCAGAAGGCCCCTTCTGGCACTCGGCACGGGAATCGCGGTCGACATGTCGCGGCGCCGTTTCGCGAACGACCGTGTGCCGTCCCGTCCCGAACGAGGGGGAAGTACTCGGGATCGGGCGCCGTTCCGTTCCGGACGCGACGCGACGGAGCGAGAAACGGGGAAACGCGAGCTGGTTGGCAGTCCAGCAGTAGGTCGTGCAGCAGGTCGGCCGGGGGGGAAAAGGAGAGAGAGAGAGAGAGGAGAGAAAAAAAAGAAAGAGACGCCTGGGTCGGCCTTACCTCGCCATTGGAGATGTTGATGCCGAGGTAAATGTCGCCGAAGGAGCCCGAGCCGATCTTCCTCATCAACCTGTACTTGCCACCCACGATGAACTCGCTCTTCGCGATCGAGATCGCCAACGACGCCATGTCACTGCTCTCCTCCGTATGCCTTCTCTCTCACCTCCACTCCGTCTGGCTCTTCCCTTACGCGGGGACCTCTACACGGCGATGTAAGTTTTGCACCTGCTCTCCGTCTCTCTCCCTCGCCCGCCGTCTCTCGCTCGCTCCGCCGTGTTCCGCGATACTCTCCCCCTCTCTCTCTCTTTCTCTCGCCCCCTCGCTCCGTCTCTCCTGCTCGCTGGCTCCCTTTCTCTCTCTCTCTCTCTCTCGCGCCTACGCGCGAAGGTCGCGAGCCGAATCGTAGGGGTAAAGCACCGGACCCTTTGGCGTATCGGGCTCCGCGGGTCAGAGTCTCGCTGCCAGTCGGGGTCGCCGGGGCGGGTGCCGCGAAATGCGGTCGTCGCGAACGTCGGTTACGAGCGGGCTGTTCACTGGCAGCACGGCAGGCCCCGTCGACAGCGCGCCGACATTTTCCCTCTCGCTGTGGGCACGAAGAGCAGCGACTGACGGTTCCCGGAAGCGATGCGTCACCGACCGACGGCGCGCGAGACGCTGGCGACTCTGGCGGAGAGGCGGGGGGGCGACGGCCGACCGCCGCTGCCGCTCAATGGAGTCACCGTGGACGCGCGACGCCGCGCGTCCGCCCGTGCGTCCGCGCCGCGACGACTCGCGCGCGGGATCGCCGATAATCGGCCTGGCTTTTACGCGGGGCCGCGCGCGCTCGCGACGCCGGGCGTTCGCGTGTCGCGACCCCCGAGCCGCGTCGGGTCGCTCGCTTGACGGCCGCGGTGCCGCGGCGCGCAGGCGCGTAGCGCGGCGGGGCGCGGGGTGTACGAAGCTCCGTACTTTCGCCAATTTCCACGCACGTACGTCTACATCGGGAGGCGGTGAATAAAGCAAATTAATGTGGACGGTACATTTTCCGTTCTCTTTTCTCCTCTTACGCGCACTACAATCGCGTGGAAGAATTCTGTATAATTTTACAAAGCCAATCTCAAATTGCTCGCGATTAAAAAATCGCACAAATTTCAAATACCAATATCTTTCTCATCAGACTTCCGACCCGAGTGTTCTGAACATGAAAACGTTCTGCTACGCGGTCCGCAACCTCATCCTGGCGTTATTTTGTGCGCAAAAGCTAACAAAAGGATCCACCAGCGCGGAAACTATATTCGAACGTGTCGGTAAAACAGAGTGACCTTAGGATCCTCTTAAAACGCCGGCGGCGACATCTCTCGGCCAGCTCCGCGCGCGTTCGGGGCGGCAAGGCGGCGGCGCGTCGCGCTCGCGGCTAACTTCACGCGCTCCCTTCGTCTTTGGATCTTCATGGCGTGCGTTTTGCTGCGAAACGCGACGCGCGGAGGACTGGCCAGGCGTCTGCGGGGCAGCCGGGTGATCGCGAGGACGAGCGACGAGCGGTGCGTCATGACGAGCCGGGCGAGACTCGAGAAGGCGCTCGAGGAGCTGCAGAGGAATCCGTACTACGACAAGTACGCGGAGAAGCTCGCGAGGCTGCAGCAGACCAGCCCGGCGGAGTTTCTGCAGCGCGTCGGGCAGCAGGAGAAGAAGAGTCGCGAGAGGCAAGGTACGTCAAGCCTGATCTACGATGTGCTCTTTGCGTCCAGAGACGTTCCATCTTGTAGCCGATTTAAAGACACTTGCGCAGGTCGACAAGTCGCACATTATACAATCGCACGCTGTCGACGAACTTTTCCAGCGTTTCGAGTTGCTTGTATGAAACAGAATGTTTCTGGACGCAAAGAGCAAGGTTGTAGATCAGGCTTGAGACGTTCGCGAGGCTCGCAAGGCCGCTATTTCCAACATCGTTTCCCCCGATTGTCCGAAATCATCTGCACTTGCCTCTTTTCCTAACAGTTCAGACCTGTGTCCACGACGCTAGAACTTGATCCAAGTTCTAGTCCCGAGAAATGTAGCCAATCCACTCGCAGGTACTTGGACCAAGTCATCGTAGACTAGCGTCGTAGGCACAGGCCCTTATAAACCCGGCGCGTTTACCTGCATGGGATAAAGAGAAAACGTTCAAATCGTTACTGTTAAAGAGAAACGCGAGACAGCTGCGGGTTTCCACCAAACCGAGGCAAAGCCAGCTTTGGAACCTGGTACGCAGGCGAGGGAGGCGCGATTGGATAGCGTGATGAGGGTCGACATGATAAAAGATCAGTCGAGGGAGGAGATTGTACACATATGGAATGAGTATCACAAGCAGAAGGACTGCATCTGCGGCACTATGACGCCCGAGCAGTACGATAAGATGTTCGCGCGCGGCAAGCGCTATCCCACCTTCCTCTTGCCGCTGCCGAGGCAACAGGGCTACGAATTTATCATGTGCCAGTTTTACGGCTCGGGGGTGCACATGACTCCGCTCGTCTGGTACCAGACCCACAAAGAGAACGCGCCCGAGTGCCTGACCATGGTACACTACACCGAATTGAGGGACGACAAGGGTATCGTGCTCATGCGCGGGGAATTCGATACCAAGTTGCTGCAGGCGCAGGAGGCGCAATGCCTCGCCAACGAGCTGCAGTTGTATTATTGCAACGACAACGAGCGCAGATTGCAGCTGCTCGAAACGTTCACCCATAGACCCAACGAATTTAAGCACATGGATCTCATTGCTCAGTTAGAGACGATAAACTTAGAGTCGCCTAACGCCGAGACGAAAAAATGAGAATTGTTAATGTCCACGTTGCTCCCCGTTATTTAATGTATTGTTACTGCGTGTACGGAGCTAGCAGAAAATAAATAGTTTTAAGGCGAGGAACTTGTATAATTTTTTCCATAAGTTCGCGAGAAGATGCCTTTTAATATTATAATTTAATGGTTAAACCTCTTTTATGTCTACCTTGTCGCTTCTGCGTTGTGAAAAATATGATGTAACAACGCTTTACTTCTTCATTAAAAAATGTCCAATAAGTATAGTTCGCATAATAATAATAATCGTTAATTTAAATTTCAGTCAAACGCGTAATTGCTAAGTATCAGCCCTCGACGTCGGCGACATTTCCGTTCCTATTAAAGAATGTGCGGTCATCTTGGAGTCTAACGATAAAGAGGCAATATGTCAAAGATCTATCTGAAAATAAGTACATTACCACGCCGATTTTTTACGTAAACGCTGGTATGTAACTTTTTCTCAAATTAAAAGCCCGCCTGCCAAGCTAAGCCCATCTCGTTGCAATTAGAAAAGATACAAATGTACATTTTACATGCTAGGTCCTCACATTGGACATTTGTACAGCGCAGTTCTGGCCGACGCTGTCGCTCGCTACAACGGCATGCTGGGCCACAAAACGTGCCTCGCCACTGGCACCGACGAGCACGGCAACAAGATCAAAGCCGCCGCGGCCGCGGCCGGTCTACCGAATCTCGAGTACTGTACGAGAATTTCGCGGCAATTCAGGGAGATGTGCGATAGGTTCGAAGTGGATTATTCGCGTTTCATTAGAACCACTGAAAAGCAGCATTCTGATGCAGTGTATCACTTTTGGGTTCTTAGAACAAATTTACTTCCGAACGTCGGTCTCGCGTACGCTTGCGATACTTTGTGACTCACGTTGAACGTTTTTCAGAATCGGCTAGAGGAAAGAGGGCATATCTACCTGGGAAAGTACTCGGGATGGTATTGCGTGTCGGACGAAGCGTTCCTCGGCGATGCGGATTTGGTGGAGGAGAAAGATTCGACCGGGAAGGTTATCAAAGTCTCCGCGGAATCGGGAAACAAAGTAGAGTGGATGGAGGAGGAGAACTACAAGTTCCGACTTAGCGCGTTTCAAGACGATCTCAAGTATTGGCTCAGAGATGGTACAGAAAAACGTCGAGTCTCAATTCATTATTTCCCTTTCTTTAACGACGGCAAATTTCAAACTTCGGATTCTCTCTTCTTGTAGAGAACACAGTTAGACCTGCGCTGTATCACAAAATACTATCCCAGTGGGTAGAGGAAGGTGCGTGCTTACAAGATCTGAGCGTTACCAGAATTAGAAACAAAGTGCCGTGGGCTATACCTTCGCCATGCGACGAGTCTCACTCGATATACGTTTGGATGGACGCCTTAGTGAATTATTTAACGGTCTTGGGATATCCAAATGAATCGTACAAAGAATTCTGGCCACCCACTCTTCAAGTATGGATCGTCATTTTTTAGCTGACGAATATTACATCGTCAAAAAATGTGAAATATATGAAAGAAAATTATCGTTGTAGATAATTGGCAAAGATATTTTGAAGTTCCATGGTATCTACTGGCCAGCATTCTTAATAGCGGCAGGCCTCGAGCCTCCAAAGACGCTACTGTGTCACGCTCATTGGACCGTCGATCACAAAAAAATGTCGAAATCAATGGGAAACGTAATTTCGCCATTCGAGGCTGCCAATGATTACTCGGACGAGGGACTGCGATATTTTGTTCTGCGAGAAGCGGTGCCACAGAACGACGCAAGTAAGACGAATAGTTTACTTGTTACATTATTATTCGCCATCACGCGTCTCTTAAAAATCCGCTTACAGATTACAGTTCGACGAAAATTGTCAACGTATTGAATTCCGAGTTGGCGGATACGCTGGGCAATCTGGTGAGTCGTTGCACGGGCAAAGCAGTCAATCCGTCCAAAGAGTTCCCCGACCCGGCGAGATACTGGGACGTGTTGCGGTCTCCGGTAGCCGATGAAACCAGAGAGGCTTTAAAATCCGTGGGCACAAGGGCGCGCGAGAGCTACGAGGAATACAATTTACACCATGTCGTGGACGCGGTCATAAGTATGCTTCATAGCGCGAATAAGATGGTGGCGTATCACGAGCCTTGGCAGCTGAGGAAGCGAGTCGACGACGCGGATTCGATCGAGCAGCTTAAAGCCGTGATTTCCCTGGCCCTGGAAAGTAGTAGAATAGGGGCATTAATATTGTATCCAATTGTACCAAGATTGAGCAGCGGCTTGCTCGATTTTCTGAACATCCCGAAGGAAAGTCGCACGTGGACGAACACCGCGCCTGAGTTTTTAAACAACAGCAGCGCGAAAGAAAGGCACATCGAACGTAATAATCTGATACTGTTTAAGAAAATAAAGAGCCAATAAATAAGTATCTATTATTCGTTTATTAATTATGGAATCGACCGACGGGAGGAGTTATCTATGTACTTTTCCGTGTAAAAACTTGGAAACAACTGGATAAAGTTTAGTATTGAAAATTCAACATCCCAATCACGCTAACGCATCGAATATAACGAGACAACGTTCAATTTAGAGTTTGTAGAAGCACGAATGGTAAATGAATCAAGTACCAACCGTTACTTTCAGGTGAATTAAATTTCATTAGTATATGTATATATGTGTTTATACCTGTATCATAGATGTAAGTGTATGTGCGATAAGAACATCTTGTTCGGCGCCTGCTGCTCGTTCTCCGCGCCTCAGCGGGACGTGGGAGTCGGGCGGAAGGAGATCAGTGAATAGTCACGAGTCGGATGCTCTTGTCGAAGTCTTAGTCTAATATATTTACAGAGAACGGTCATTTTCGAATATATCAGTAGTATACATCAACATTGCGCGCACGTCCTGCCGGCTAGAGAGTTCCGCGCTGTTTCCTACAACCGCTTCCACGCAGTCCACGCAACGTGCATGCACTCGTACATGGTGTACAGGCATTCCCTGTCGTTTCCTCTCGCGCCGGATCGTAATGCGCGTTTTGTACCGTAGATATAGATGTACCATCGGAAGCTCGACGGATCCTCGCGAGCGCCAAAAAACTGGCTCGCTTCCTTCCACTCGGATATGTGATGCAGAATTGAATTGAGATTCGACGGGTGCTCGACGACGACGACTTTTTTTCTCGTACGTCCGCAATGAGCGCGCGCCCATGGAGCGAGACCTCGCATTTCTGCGACTGCGATCCCGCCGTGTGTCCCTCTTCGCGCCCGTCAAATAGAAAAATAATTAAATGGCTATTTACAGGATGGAAAATGAATTCTATAGTTCACGGGCGCGACGTGTCGCGCGCGCCGCTGGCGCTCACCTATTGCTAGTATAAGTTTTTTCTTTTTTTTTATATATATATTTCTCATGATGTTTCGACAGACGTTACTATTTAGAAACATATCGGTATTTTTTTAGTAACATCCAGCTTTTAACACCGAGTAGATCGGCTATCGACCTTGCTCCATTAAAGAGATTGCTTGACGAGATTAGTATCCTAAGCGCTACACTTGGATTTTTCTATTAATCGACAAATCCCACTCTACGCCTGTCGTCGTATTGCTTAAAAAAAAAAGAACGAAAGAAGAAGACAACACTACGATTTCGGTGGATTATGTCTTCGGGATATGTTTCGAAGTGGGTTCCGGTGATTGTCTTAATTACAATGATTGATGTCTTCGCGAAATGCCGCGCTTACATGGTCAAACGCACCACAGCCTTCACTCCTTTGCTATTAAAAAAAAAAAGAAGAGAGAAATATTCGTCGATCATACACATGCGTTACAAATGAAAATATCGCACTCCTTGAAGAAACTTGCGCGTCACTCGCAGTTATCATATTAATCGAGTCGTGACGACCGTGGGAGAACACGACGTGCTCGTTTCAATATCCGGCAAACGTCTCGGATTTTGCATTGCATCTCCCGCATCTACGACATCGCATCTTCCCGGAATCCGTCCGGGTGATACAAGCTGCGCGGTTCCCGCGTTCGGTCCGGGGGAGAGAATCCTCGGGCCAAATCAACGACAGCTAACTAGAACATTGATCGATATTACGTGAGGAGAGATTCAACAATATTGGCTGAGTGTATTATCAACGTCCTCAGTTTATGCTTATCTTACGCGAGCGGCTGTACAGCGAGAGAGCACAGGAGTCGTCGCGACTGCAGCAGCAGTCTCCTCCTTTGAGCAGACGGGCGGTTTGGCGTTCAATCCTTTGCGGATGCAAATACTAAACTTTAGCACGCGAGAGCAAACTCCGCTTGTTGGCGCAAGCGGTGCCGTATGCTGATTTTATGTACACTGGCGCAAGTTTCGTACGAAACAATAACAATAAGCGATCGTTCCACTGGAAATCGTGCAATCTGTCATGGATTGTATCACGATGGCCTTTTCCACTGCGGACTCGGAACCAATTTTAAACCGGCGAACAAAAACTGCGGATCTAAGTGCTGCAATAAAAAGGAATGTTTCGTAATCGATGTGTCCCCTGCGACGCGGAAGATCGACGCGTCGCGACGAAGAGCGGATTCCTCTTCGCACGAGGCGCGCTTTAACTCGCGTTCGTCGTCATTACCCCCCGCCAGAGGATGTCGGTGTCTCCTGCCTCCTGCAAATTCCTCGACAGGATCGGCGAGTAAAACGAAGACGGCGATCTCGGGGATGAGCGGCGAGAGCGAGACCCAGGAGAGAAGCCGAGAGGAGCGCGCGTTTATATGGCACTGACGATGGTGTCGCGATGCCGTTGAGCCATGACCCCGACCTGGCAGCTGTCCGCGCTCGATCTCGGGCTGATGTTACACTCGACCATGGAACCGTTCCGCTTCTGCACCACCACCGACCGGAACTCCCCGCACTCGCTGGTCGACGGCTGGTTGCCCCGCGCGCGCGCTCCCTTCGTGAGGATCCTCTTGAACGCCTCCCGGAACTCGGTGTTGAAGATGCTGTAGATTATCGGGTTGAAGGCCGAGTTACTGTAGCCGAACCACGTGAGAATCTGTCCGGGCAGGGAGAAACGACTTTGGTAAACCTTTACGGACGTCGGGAAAGTTTTATGCGCGAGCAACAACTGAATTGGTCAAAGTAGAAAGGATACACGTGACAAAATCATATTTGAAGGAAATAAAAGCTGTTTTAACCTAGTTTGTCTTGAAAAGGGAGATTGACTCTCTTACAATTAGAGTCAATCAGCGACTATTCACCGCCCTAATAGGAAAATGTCTCAAATGATTGTGTAATAATTGCATCATCCAAAAGGAGGAAATTTCACAATGATTGCATTAAGGTGGTTCGCCAAAACGCAGCTGTTTTGCTGACATACTATTTAGAAATATTATACATTGGGCAAATATTTGATGAAAGGTCTCTATTTCTGCATATGTTGTGCGAAATATGTACGCATAATTCCAGCATTCCAAGTCTCATCCAGACTTCGTCACATAATTCTCCAAATATTCTCCTATCGGAGCGCTTTTCAGTGACGATCCACCGATTGACTTTAAGAGAGTATTTACAAGTTCTCATTAAAAAAGAATTTTTAACCGTCTTGATCTTACGCTACAGGATTCATTGTTAACTCAATTCGGCCGAAAATGTCACGTGCCCCCTTTCTCACACGCGAAACAAGAAAAGTCTGCTCTGTTTAAAGGAGTAATAGACTCTTATAATTTCCAAGTGTTTTCGCCGGGCGATTTGAATGAATGATCTCTCAATCTTTCTGTCAGCGGAAGAATTCGATTTTGAATTGAAAAAAACAAGAATGTAGTTGAGATGAGATGCCTTGGAATGCAGTCTGCGCGAAGCGTCGCACCTGGAACGCTCGGTGAGATATGCAGGTCTTGCAGTAGGCTGCGACGATGTTGACGCAGAAGAAGGGCACCCAGCACACCAGGAATACGCCCATGATTACGCCGACGGTGATGGCGGCCTTGTGGTCGGAGACGTGGTAAGGGCTGGTCGGCTTCGTCTTCGTCTGCGGCTTCGGCGGCTTGCAGCGACTGCTCTTCGAGCGAAAACTCTTGGCCATGGAGGTGTCCGGCAGCTTCGTCACCGCTCGGATACTCTTCACGTGCTTCTGCGCGTAGCAATAGAGCCTGAAAGAGGGAAGCGTGACTTAACGCGTGGCAGGTAACTCTTTCGATTTGTCGGTCCCTATCAGAGAGAACTTTATCTACTGTCGTGGCAGCGAAATGAAAACATAAAATTGTATCTTTATACATCAAAGAAACGACGAAGACACGACGTTTATTGGAAACTCATCAGCATCTCCGATGCGTGGTACCGCTAAACAGATTTGCGGCACGTCCGGCGTTGTTGCGATTTACATTTTATGGATTTTCAAACGAAGACGCTTTTTTCCGAGCGCATCGGATTTGCCCTCGGGCTCGCCCGCGATATCGCCAATTTGTTATCGGAGCTGCGGTACATACAGAGCGACGCACGGGAGCTGCGTCACTCACGAAGATCACGGCGAATGATTACGAGAGCGCGGAAGTAAGAAGCTAAATTAATTCGCCTCCGAGCAGTTGGCGGCGAGCGGTCTTACCTGCAATAAATACCCAGCATCACGATGCAGGGCACGTAGAAAGATATGCAAGAGGACACCACCGCATAGGTGGGTGTAATGTCTAGGGCACACGTAGGGTGCTCCTGTAAGGGTAAAAGACGAGTAATTAACGGAGAAACGGCAAGGATTGCGTGAACTGCTTCAGACGTGAATGGCGTGACGGGGTAAAACGAGAAATGTCATTTATTTTTAATCCCTCCGGTATTCGAAAGCGCAACCGCCACACATTCGTTGCATTCTTCATCACTCGAGGCTCGATACGAATTTCATTTCACGTGGCTGATACGTCGCGGAACGCGCTTGAAAACTCTCGCAACACTTGGGCCCGACGTTTCACCAAACGTCGCTTAACTTTAATCTTGGTTTGATTCACATTTGTCTCTTTCTAAAGTAACAGTTGGAAAGAGACAAAGAACGTATTAAACCAAGCTCAAAGTTAAGCGACATTGGTGAAAGCCTAAGGCCCGATTTCACCAAACGTCATTTAACTTTAATCTTATTGTTAGTTAGATTCACGTTTGTCTCTTTCTAAAGTAACAGTTGAAAAGAGACGAAGAACGAATTAAGCTAAGCTTCAAGTTAAACAACGTTAGCGAAACCGGGCCTTACAATCGCGGACCTTTCATAACATTGCGCGACACTTGAAATATCGGGCGGAATTCATATTTTATCAATTTCTAATCGAACGGATTACTCGATAATTAAAATTGACAGTTTGCTCGAGAAAGAGAGAGAGAGAGAGAAAACTAAGAGACGAGATGGAAAATCGCTTCGTCACGTTTCACGTGTTTAAATTAGACGATACATTGAATTTACTCGATATATTGGAGCTGTTGGTATTAATAAAACCGCGATTAAATTCTGCGGGCGCCTTACCTCCACCTCGTCGTCAATCGCGGGCTGATCATCGTTCCTGTGAAGATCTAGACTGATCGGCACGAAGGATATGAGTCCTGCTAGAAGCCACACAACGGCGATGCCGCCAATGGCAACCCTTCTGGTCACCCAACGACCGTACCTGAAAGATCCAAATCTTTATAATCCTCATCCAGTCCATTTTCGAATGTGTGCGACATTATTTTTGCAACAATTTTTAACTATTTTGAACTCTCCACGGTTCCAAAGGTATATCGTGTAAAGTGATTTCATTCTCTAAAACTGTCTTCTACACAGAGAATTTTCTCTTCAAATTTACCCTGAAGATCTTGGTACAATATAGCATTTTCAAGAACTGTATGAGAATTTCTTGAAATTTTACCGTACATTCTACAAGTAAAATGTATACTAAGTATAAATACTAATAGATTGTATGGTAAAATTTCAAAAAACTCACAAAATTATTCGAAATGCCACGTCCCTCGATTACATGATTTTCAGGATAGATTTTGCAAATAAAAAAAATTCTGTCCGCGTAGTCACGCTGAGAAACAGTTGCAATCTTTAATTAATGAATCGCTCGACGATCCTCCTTCGAAGCTGTCGACGACGATCAGCCTCACCTGAGGGGATCCTTGATGTGTATGTAACGGTCGAGCGATATGGCGCATAGATTCAGGATAGAGGCAGTGCTGCACATAACATCGAAGGCGATCCAGATGTCGCAAAACCACATTCCGAAGATCCAGTAGCCGAGGAGATCGTTGACCCCGGCAAAGGTCATCACCAGCCCACCGACGAAGAGGTCGGCGACGGCCAGGGAGGCCAGGAAGAGGTTGCCGATCCTCCGTAGCCCGCGGTCGGTGTAGATCGCCACGCAGACCAGGACGTTGCCGGCGACGGAGAAGAATATCAGGATCACGAGGAGGAGTCCTGCGGATATCGCGGAGATCCGTCTAGCCGAGAATCGCCAGGACACGCTACTGTTCAACCGTACAACACGTCGCCCCTCGAAGCGCGTGGGACCTTAGAGAAATCCGGCGTGGTGTCGTCGGTCGCCGATGAAATATGATTCTCGCCGCTATTCATTCGAATTGAATCGGTGGATGAATCGAGAAAAGCCGCGTCACGCTGACGCTTTTGCGAATATCGGTGTTATCGGTTATTACCGGATGCTGCATATATGTGTCTTTTCGTGCAATTTTGGAGACACGTATAATATTGTACATCGAGACCGCGCGAGAGGTATAATCGATATTATTTATGGAAGGATCTCGGAAGCCCCGACCTTCTCAGGCCTGACGAAATTGTTTCTGTCGAGATTGGCGCCGATTACTCAGAGTGGGGAAAGTTCGAGGGTGGCCGTAATCTCCTGCGACTTTTAATGCCCGGCACGACGTGTAGTATTTCTGAGATTAATCTGTCCCGAATGCGAATGCTGAAAGGATGAGATACAGGTGAAGCTACGGGCGAGCGAGATGAACGAAGAGCCGGTAAATCCGTTCTGGTTCACGTGCACATCCCCTTTAAAAGGCTAGATTCAGCAGGGTATATAATTCGCTTCGCGAACCTTTATTTTATCGATAACGTAAGCACCCCACGTAGCAAAGTAATACACGCTGGAACGTCGGTCAGGAAAATTCTTGCTCTTCCTCTCAAAATTTCGAACGTCTGCATAGGTTGCGGAGCTCTTTAAACGGGACTACGTCTCACTTCCGATTTTATACAAACGCCTTACTTGAAGGAAGAAGTTAAGTTCAACGAGGAACCTGCTAATCCTAGTAAATTAATTGCGACGCGTATTTCCCGATAAATTTCAACAATGCCGCTCTTAAAAACGTGGCCTAGACTTTCGACTCTTCGTCTGTTAAATAAAAAGGTCTGCACACAGAGAGTCGAAATTCTTTTATTTCTAGCAAAGTGTTATGTTACAACAGTATCGTGGTGGTTTTCCGAGGGGTATCGCCGAACGGAATTCGTGGCGAATGTCGATAGGACAGAAATTACGACACCTGCCCTCGGGGACTCGCGTCCAATCATAATTTATTCGATTCTATCGGTTATATTAAGCGGCAAGAAAGCGTTGGGGATGGAAAACAAAATCCGGGGAGGAGAGGGAGCGGCGGTAGGGTGTCGGGAGAGGGAGAGAAAGGCTAGAGACTATCGCGGTATGATTGGACGGGGTCGGATCGGAGCTTCCGAGAGTAGGCACTCTCGGGAGGCTGTCTTCGAGGGGCGACTCACGATCGATCAAATGGAAAGTTTAGCGAACCAACTAGGAGCACCGACAGCAGCGAGAAAGCGTCTTCAGGCAGATCTTCTTCCCCGTCTGTCAGGTTACTCTGCGGAAAGACAAAGAGAGAGAGCTGCGTGAGTGCGCGGGCGAGTCGGGGAGGGCCAGGGGAGGATTAGCGAATTATTATGCGCGCGACTACGTGGCAGCTGTGACAACTATTGCAACACATCTACGGCGAGACATACAGGGGCGATAAATAAATCAAAGTCAATGTGCAGAAAAGGAAAGAAGCGCAGGGACGCTACAAGGATCCACCTTCGAGACGTCTCTTTTCGAGTCTTGGACCTTTCTTTTCTACATTTTCTTAAGGCCTGTGTTCACGATGCTAGAACTTGGACCAAGTAAAGACGCATATGGTACATGTGCTTCAACGTCTCCATGCTGTCGCGTTTTATGGACCTAATACGATAGGCTTGAAAGACGCTACAAGGATCAACCTTCGGGATGCCTCTTTTAGAGTCTTGGACCTTCTCTTTCTAGATTTTCTTAGTAAAGGCGCATACACGTGCTCCAACGTCTCCGTGCTGCCGCGTTTTATGGACCCACGATAGAATAGAATCGCGATGAAAAAACGCTAACCTGCCGTTCTCCACGGAAGGCTGGCCGCAACTTTTAGTATTCCGGATGCCATTCTTGGCGTAAACGCGGAGACTCTCATCACAATAAAGTCGCTTCACTTCTGTCTTTTGTTTTTTATGGCGGTAGACAGAGGGACACCGCAATTATCCGCGCCGAGCGGATCTCCCGGTGTAAACCGCTTGCAATTACGGCTTTAAAATTTATACTTCGTCGCGTGATTTATCCAACGAGGGCGAGGCCACTCGCTCGTATTTCGTCGATGCGGTTCAAATTACCCAACCTGATGACGATTCAATGTAAAATGCGACAGCGAATCTTACGACGCCTATTAATTTCAACATCCGCGCGCACCAATCGATTCCGTGACCAGATGCCCAATGCGTCGAAGATAGATAAATCACGATCGCGGTGGCCAGTAGTGTCTCGCATAACGCGGCGCGTCCCCTCGGCGGATCAATTGCCCCGCCGCCGTTTCGTTTCTCGCGGGCGCAATAATCAGTGTAACACGTCGCATTGAAATCTCACCGCGGGAACTTTCGAAAGTGGAACGATGTTAATCGATTCATTAGATATGCAATGCAGCATACGGCGCGGCCACTTTATATTCTATACTCACGCGGCTTATATATTATATATTTTATATATTGAGCCGCGCGCCCCCTTATATTACGACTCGGGGAACACTTTCCGTTACGAAATTTCGCTCGCGGAATAATTATCGTCGGTGCAAATTTATGCGCCGTTGCTTATGAATTTAAAGCAAGCGCGGCCGCGGTAAGCGACAGCGCGCGCTTTCAGCGTGTCTCAAAATTCCAGTTTAGGACGGGATTTCCACCTCGACGGAGTGGAGATCGCTCGGCACTCGATCTCACTCGCGCCAATTTTCCACCTGATCATGCCCGATTCCCGGGCTAATTGCTCCGATTCGTCGCTGACTTCTCGCATACGCTGCGCCTGAGGTTTGATCCGCGCTAAGATTTCCCATTACTCAATGCCAAGCCACGTACGTTCAATCGATCGCGTGTAACGGGATTTTATCTCCAGCCTGTCGAATTTCGGCACCGACGATAAGCCGTTTCTAATCTCCTCGCGAAGGGATTGAAAAACTTGGCGTGCAAAGCGCGCGCTGATGTATCGTGAAATTAAAATAAAATATTTTTATTTGCTCGAGATTGTTTTTGTGTATACTATATCTCGATCGGGTCAACATACGTATTGGATCAACAGTGGTAAAAAAGTTAAAATGTTTCGTAACGTAAAAACGTTTTCAAGTGCAATCGAGCGTACGAAAATAAAAACAAAATTTAAATGTTTGTAAGAGATAATGCAGAATGGTCAGTTCAATATGCATTTCAAATGCACCCCAGACAAATTTTCCGAACATGAATTATATCAGTTTCATCGAATAATGTTGTAGAAACACCAACGATTATATTATCTCTTTTAGAAATAAATATTTTAAGAATAATATTAAACAAAGTAATATGAGATCTAATGTGCATATATCTTCAGTCAGCAATCTGTGCGTATGCGGAATAAATTATTTCTGCGAAGATTTTCAACACGCCGAGGTTCTTTACAGTGATTTTAAATAGGCGTCACAAACTAAAATCGTTTTATCGATTCGATGTGAATTTACTGTCCCGAAGTATAAAGGACTTTAAAACCGACAAACAATCGGCGCGCAGTTTATTAATAGCGAATTCGGTTGCACGAGTGCGCACTGAGTGTACACTGAGGCTTGTTTACAGTCAATTCTTATATTTAAGGATCGTCGCAAATAACCCTTGAAATATTTCTTAGCCAGTAAAATGATCCGTGTAGCATCCATACACTGAGAAAAATGTCCGATTAAATATAATCGGATAATTTAATTACATAATAGCAAGTGGATATACCAGATGAAAAATAAGATCGGTTCCCTAGCGGAAAAATTGATATAAATAACTACAAAAAATTCCTAAAAATAACTGCTTGAAATAGAAATTTGTAGAAATTTTTTTTGTCTTCGTTGAAACATTAATTTTTTATTTGCAATTTTTGCAACCGATTTCGCTATACGTTTAGAAAAATACAAAAATCTACACAGACTTATTAGGCTACGAAGATCCAACTGTGACCGAAAATGGCATATCGACTGTTCCCTGGACCAGAGTGGGCGTTTAAGCAGAAAAATCCGAAAATTGCGTAAAATCGAGATACGACCTCGCGGAAGAGATCAGTCGATGTTATAATTATTTTGCATATCATTAGAACAGAATGCATAAACGTGTATATAAACATGTGTCTTTCTTCTTTCAACGGATGCATCGATGCAAACAGATCACGTACACTTGATATAGTACGGTCAGCTTAGTGAGATATATGTCCCGACGCATTGAGAGTTGTAATGGCGGACGCTTCTCCCGTCTACGTACGAACAATACCTTTTCGACGTAATATATGGCAGGGCGTGAATGGACTCGTAAGAGTCGAAACACATTAGCGTTACAAATAAGCGCTTCGGGAAATATATAGTCATTGGATTTACAAGTAATTGATCCCCGACGGTCGGGCCACTATCGCGCGTCTTACCGTGCAACTTACAACGCGCGCGTAAGTTACAGTTACGATTGTCTCTCTCGCGATCGCGTAAAACGCTTTTAGATTCGTTGCGTGAGACTGTTACAGGAAACGATCTCTGTCGTTTGACCATCGACGCAGCTTCCGCTTTCGAAAAGCTGGCGGTGTCGTAAACTTTAACGATCCATGACTCGGGGAGATTTTATTGTAAACGAGCAAACGATTATTGCGGATCGAGGATGATCCTCCTTCCCTCAATTTCAATTGCGTGTAAGCTGGAGGGCAAACGAAAAGTTAAACGAGAAATTCGTGCGAGCGTTCGCGAAAAGAAAATTTCGGACAAATATAAAGAAGTTAAAAGACAAAGGCAACAGGAGCCGAACACCACATTGAGAAAAATGCCCGATTAAATATAATCGGATAATCCAATTACATAATAACAAACGGATATGTATATCCAATTAATAAAATTTTTATTCTCAAATGTGATAAACACAAATTTGAAGGAATAGAGGACTAAGAGACATTTCAAATCTTTAAATTTATTGCGAAAAATATTACCTCAGCCAGGGTATTCCAATTAAATTGTATATCCGACGAAAAGTATGATCGGTTTTTCAATCAAATTTTATCGGATGTATCCATAATTCAAACGGAAAACGTAATCGGAAAAATTAACTAGCGGAAACACTATTTAATTGGTTTATCCGATGGAGATTTTTCTCAGTGTGGTGAATGCGTATTTGCAGAAACCGATGACTTTCTTCCGATTAACATATTGTCGGATCTCGCGGCGTTTTCTCACCGCGTGAATGGATCCGCCGTCTCCGAAAGTCCGTGTCGGCGGATGACATATATCCCGATCTTCGTTTATTTCCTTTCTCTCGCGAGTCTCATTCGGGAAGACCGGTTTAGGTCAACGATCGATTCGTTCTGGGAACGAAGATTTGTGCCTGTGTCAGACGGTCGATGGTTTGCTGTGCATTAGCCCGCGTAGGAGAGACACGTGGGATACTTGCGCTCTCTTCGCAACACTTCGCGGCTTATTAATTTATTTGCGTTTGCGGATTCATCTTTCGCGGCGAAAGCGTCTTGCGTAATCATTTCGCCGTCAAAACGGAAAAAGAAACTCGCAAGTTTCAACGTATGTCAAGCGATTAGCGCTTCGGTTCTTTCTACCGCAGGGTATGCTTTCTCGTCGGCCGTGAAATCGGCATTTCTACGGCTGTTAATTACTTAAAAAAAATATATAAAAGAGACGATAGAAGCCTAACTTTTCCATTGATTGCAAATGAATTCCCGTTTTATTTAATTCGTGAGATTGTTCTTCTAAGGGCGAGTTTCACAAACGTCGGTTAACTGCTAACCGAAGGTTAATTGATTCTCTGCCTCTTCTTAGACCCGGTTTCACCAACGTCGCTTAAACTTAGCTTTAAACTTAGCTTCATTCGTTCTTTGTCTTTTTCCAACTGTTACTCTGGAAAGAGACAAACATGAATGAAACTAAGATTAAAGTTAAGCGATGTTTGGTGAAACTGGGCCTTAGATGATAAGATAGAAAAGGATAGGGAGTTGACTGGACTCTGGTTAACAGTTAACCGACGTTTGTGAAACTGGCCCTAAATAGCAGACTGTCGGGCGTTCTAGTCGGCGTTAAAAAATGCGACATCTAAAATCATCAATTTTCGTATTTAATTTAGTAGTTAAAGCGCAGAGTGCGGCTCGTAACCTGTGCGGCGCTAGATTGCGCGCATTTCAGATATTAGCGCCCCGTGATATACGAGCCCGGCACAGTTTCAAATTGCGTGCAGCAGTTCGCGGATAAATCCGTTGCAGGCGCGTGAGCAAAGATAGCGAGTGCAGTGGCTGCGCCGGCTGCAGTTTAAAGCCCGAGTGAGAAAAGTT